AAAAAAAAAATGAAGAAAAGAACAAGAACATCATCATAAAAAAAATCCTCTTGAATTTCCTCCCGTTCCTAGTCCTATATGTTCCTCTTGAACCTTGTACCCCTCAAAACGCCTTGAAAGTTCCTCCTCGTAAGGCTGGATACTGTTATCTCACTAGTGGTACAAACCTTGGGATGCCTCCTTCTGTGATACTTCCCCTCACCATTAGTCTTGCCAAACATGTATCATGTCATTTTCATCTATATAGACTTCCATTTCTTTCGTAATTCCTTCCCATTGGCTCACACGTTGCGTTTTGTTGCCTTGCCGAGAACTACCCATCTCTTGATCTTCCCTATGCCATAATAAATGTGGTCCCTTCATGTCACAGCCATTTTCCTTATAGCACCCTCTTGATTCTTGCATTGGATTTTAACAGGATAAGATCATTTTTGAGACCTTTTACTTCCGTGAGAAAATGCTCCTGACGGGTCTACATTTCTCATTTTTGCAATTGTAATCATGATCTGTTTCGGTATTTGTAATGTTGGTGTTTGGCTTTTGAAGTACTTAGAAATTATTCCCATCTTGACCTTATCAATAACAAAAATTTTCATTTGGGAATATTCTGGTCAAGGTATTCTGTTAATCTTATAATCCCTCTCAAGACTTGTTTGGTAATTGGCCGACCACTATATCTTTGATGCCCTTTGGTGATCTGAATCTTCCCTATGTAAGGGGCACCGAGATTTTGTGACCTATTGAACTGATTTAGTCTGTGATTGATTATTTATTCTTGTTAAAGGGTGTGACTTTAAATTAGTTAGAGGTAATGTTCTTTCCTATCTTGTTCCTGTACAGGTTATGCCCGAGATTGTTCCTTCAAAAGCCACTCTTGCAGGCAATTCCAACAATGATGAAGGTTTGCATTACAGATTACTGATTTCGGTCTGCATGTGAGGAATATGTAGCTTAACCTTTGTAGGAACATTGTCTTTTTTTGTTCATTTATTATGTTGCTGAAATGATATCAATTGTCAAAGGTTCTGCAATTAATAAATGTCTTTTTATTTCACTTGTATTTCTTGTGAATAGAGAATACCTGTTTTATAGATAGACGACAAATTAGATACATATGGACGATTATAGTGTCATAAGCATCTTGCATATACTTTTGACACCGGTTTGGTGTTTAGTACAGTCAAACCTCTCTATAACAACCTCGTTTGTTCCGAATATTTTTAGATGTTATAACGAAGTGCTGTTATAGAGAACATATATTATAACATAACATAAAAATTGGTTCCGGAAAAGCTTGGCTTTTATAGTGAAGTGTTGTTATATAGGGATGCTGTTATAGAGAGGTCGTTGAAAAATGAAAAATTGTCTAGCCAACAATGAACTGGTATCACGACAATGGGGGACCTTGGGTTGAGTCAGAGCCCGTTTGGATTAGCTGAATAGCAGTATCTTTTAAGTACCAAGAGCTAATAGACACTTTTAAGTGCTGGAGCTGATTTTATGAATAAGCAATTGCGTGTTTGGATAAAAGTGCTGAAACCGAAAATAAACAGTCGGTATGTTTGGTGGTAAAAGGTGCTGGTAAGCATGTTTTTCTGTTAAAGTGACTGAATGCCCTTAAAGTTGTTGACACTAATAATGAGCTTATTATTGCAAAATTTTTAATACTAAATTGGTTTAAATGCAAATTAATTTACAACACAATTTCAATTTAACTCTAAATTGATTAAATATAATTATTTTTAATAAATATTGATTATCTATTTACAAGGTAACTTTAGATACTTATTCAAATCATACTATAATTAATAGGTTTTGTTTCAGATGGTCAGAAAACTATGCAACTCTTATTCATTTGATAGCTTATGCAGCATGTGCGTGTGGATATTTTTGGCTTTTTTGATTTGATTTCTTTGTCTCAATGTTGCCTTGGTTGATGGCACAGCAACTAAAATATTCACCTTGTTGACGGGATTTTCACGTGGCTACACCATAATGTGCGTCGATTTTATGCTATTTCTTTTGGAAAAACCTATTTCCTGTTTATGCTAGGTTTCCTTGTTCGAGTACTTTGGCCAACTTTACAAACTTATAACTAATGAGGATTTAGGTAAGTTTAGTTAGACAAACAATATATATGATTTTATTGATATCGAACTTACATAATACTCCCTCTGTCCCAATTGATGTGTCATACTTTTCATTTTAGCCTGTTCCCAGAAGAACTTCATATTCCTTATTTAGAAACAATTATACTTCAGATTCTACCCTTAGCGAGATGATTTATAGCCACACAAATGTCTATGGCTTGTTTTAGAACACACGTTTCAAATGTCTTCCTTACTTTCTTAAACTTTGTGCCCAGTTAAACACGGTCACATAAATTGGGACGGAGGGAGTTGCATATCTATCTTATAATATTGCTAAAAGAGTATGTTCTTCCAGAAGAATAAGATGAAATATTAATGAGAAACAAGAAATTGCCAAAACGGTTAATAGGTTTAAGATAATAAAGCTTGATAAAAAAAGGCTTAAGATAATAAAAAATAAAAGTGAGCAAAAAGCTTTTTGTATATCAACTCCTTTTTCACTTATATCCTATGTTGCGCGGACTCTTCAAAATGATGCCGCACCCGTGGCGGATCCTTCAAAAATACACTATTTTTGGAGGATCCGACACGCACCCGGCAACTCTTTCGGAGAGTTCGAGCAACATAGCTTATATCTCTTGTATATGGGATTTATCTTTTTCCCCCTGCGGTCTTGGGCCTTGGAAACTAGACGGTTCCATCTGAGGCTAATGCATGATCTTGCCAAGTCCTCGATAAATGCCTGCAGAGGCTGTTGTGCAATTCCACCAACTAAATATATATACATATT